TTGGTTCGCGGGTGGTTGAAGTAAGCAGGGGTAGGGGGCAAAAGAGGGGTCGGAAGTTACGCTACCCAGTTTGATCGAGATAGCGCTTATGATCTACGACTTAATTACCAACGACGAGTGCAGGGTGAACGTTGCACCTATAAGAGTTTCACGTGAAGTCGTCGTTGATCGCGATATAAGTGCACGGAGAGAAATATTCAGTAAACTTTAACAGAAAAGAAACGTAAAAATTACGTTTCGGAACGTATTCCGCGAGCGAAGTCAAATTTAAGAAAAAGTCCGAGTCACTAAAGAAATTTTCCATTTGCGCCACGTAAATTTTACGGAGAGTTCCGTAAAAATGACTCATCCCTTCGCTGACGCATGGGATGGGGAGATTTTACGAACAGGATCCGTAATTTTTACGAACCCTGAAATTTTTTTTAACCAAAAAAAACCAACAACGCTTTTTGCAGTTTTAATTTATTAAACATTTTTTTGATTACATTCGGAATTTAACACCATGTTTTTAGTATATATTTTCCGTGAACTGAGCGAACTAGTTTTGTAATGAATGCTTCCTTCACATGCTTAGAATGTAAAATTGTCCACGAATACTCCATTCCTCCGAGTTTGTATGCTTGAGTAAACTCATCCAAAAAAATATTATGTAACAATTTTGTTATAATTATACAATCATCCCCGGTTTCGTCGATTATAATAGTATCAACCTGATAAAATAGAAGACCATCTTCATAAGCAATCGCAATAATATCGCGCTTCTGAATCTCGTACTCTTCAATTTTTATTTTTTTTACCGTGGGTATTATAGTTTGAGGTGGTTTATCAAAAAAAGTTGAAAGTGACCTTATGTCGTGGAAACCATGAGTACAAATCATTTCAATCTCTCTAATTGAATTTTCTTCATACTCTAGTTTTGTAGGAATACATTTGTTGATAAGTCGATAATTAAACCTTAGCTGATGTTTAATAGCAATGGTTTTACAAACATTGACGCGACTAATCGATGTTTTCGACGTGATTTTTCCTTCTCTGTGTTTTCCTTCACACCTTATGGTGGATATTTTTCCCAAAGGACCACACAGGAACATCACCTGAGGATAATGCACCAAGAAATGATGCTTTGGTTTAAAACAACGAGGAAATATCCGACCTAGCAATCGTAAATATTCATCGATTTTTACTTGTAAAACTTGCCAGCAATCATTGTCAACATCATAGCTGGTGACGATGTCGATAATTTCCTTGAGTGACAATAATAATTGCCAAACATCATCTTTTTCGGGTATTTTATGTGCAATTATTAATGGTAAGTATCTTACTAATGTTAACATTTCGCTCGCTGACATTATAATTGCTTTGTTTGTAAGGTGCATTGAAGTTATTTCAGCTGGGACATTTTTTACACTACCATAATTGAAACCTCGTAAACGCTCGTTCAAATTGGTCAAATCAAAAATTTTTTTCGTTTTAATAAAATAATTCAGTATGAGAGCTAGATCATAACGACAAACACCCTCCAGAATATCATGTGTATTGTCTACATATAAATTTTTTACGGGATGAAATCCCCCCACGCTCTGTAATTGACATTTTGCGATTATCCCAGTGAGAGTCGAATCATTTTGTTTCAATTCAGCCTCGTAATTATTTATATTTCGTAATTGAACCTGATTTTCGTGTGTAATTCTATGGATTTCATTTTTATGGCACAGACAGAAACGACAAAATCTTTTGTGGTTGAAACTCTGACTAAAACCCAGTAAGCTATGCAAACCCAAATTATCTCCCGTTATAAGAGCTAATCTGAAAAATATAATCTGCTTCCCTGATCTACATTCGACCTCAATACCGACTTGCTCGAGGAATTTTAATTCATCCTCCACTGCTGACATTAATACTTTGTCATTCACATATTTTCGATCTAAAGTGTTGAATAGGACGAATAATAGGATATTCTCAAGTTTGGACACGAATCGAGGGGGGAGACATGGAATATATGCATACACAGCACAACACTTCGAAATTCCTTTATGGGATCCCAATACGTTATTATTTTCGTAATCATCTGAATAAATAATTAACGGTAATACTATTCTATCTCCATCCTGACTGCTCAGTTCTCTCCATAGTTGTCCTTGCACGAAATTACTGATGATACAATTATCAGCTCTCAACATATTTAGGTAATTCAGAGTTTCATCCAAAATTAGAGGTTGTTCTAGAAATTTCTTCAATGATTTACGAAGAGGTATAACTTGAGCAGTTACAGGAATTCTTTTGAGTTTCCTCAATCCTGTTTGAGAGACATAATCATTCCTCTCTCCTAGAAGATATGTTTGAGGTGAAATGTAGGTTCCAAGTTTCTCAAAACTGTTCAAACATAAATATTCAGTCTTAAAATTATCGAGAACATTACGACGCTCAGTACATAACTTTTTAATTTTTTCTTTTGTATTCATTTTCACACCATCCTCCTCAAGAACTTTTAAAATATCATGTTCCAGTCCCCCTAGTGAATCATTTAATAATTTTGAAGTGTCATTAATTATTTCGTTAGAACGTATTCTGGCTATATCGGGATAATCATAAAACTTTGCAGCAAATCTCATGCCATGCGATATTTCTGCCTGAGAATTAACTGATGGAGTGCAACTTTCGAGGCAATTTTCAGGGGAAATTATCATATTTTCAGTTTCACGCGTGGTATCTGCGTTTGAAGGTTTACAAGGACTGGTGACATGAAAAATCTTGGGTGTTACCTTACGTGTATTTTTTAATTTGGGTTTCCACGTTTTTCTTTTGTTTTTGGGAAGATCTATTGGTTTATTATTTTCATGCTTATATCTGATATGTGCTCTGAGTGCTCCAACAGATCTCAAAATCCGATGACATGATGGGAACCCACAGGGAAATTTCGTGAGCCCGAAATGACCAATTTTTATATGTCGTAAATAGTCATGCCGATCGGTCATGTTTAAATGACATTTGCTGCAGGTAAACATTGTAAAATGAATATAAAACCGAAACAAATAAACGAGCTCAAGAAAAGAGCAGGAGGCTATTGAGCTTCCGCCATCCACATTTCAATTTGACCAAGGAGTACTTCTACAGACCTAGGGCATGGGTAATCATGGGAAGTGTGAATGTTATATAATCCTTTTTGAAGGAACAACCATACAGCATGTGCTCGTGCTGGGTAACGACAATGTAGAGCGAAAAAAATCTTAAAACTTAGGTCAATGGCATGCACAATCGAGTCCACTGCATAAATTGTTGGGTTGTCCAGCGAATCATGAACATAAACATAAGTGGCTTGCAAATTGTCCACTTGCCCCACGATAACCGGCATTGGCTGCATTGATAATCCAGCTGCTTGAAGAGCTGCTCTCTGTCTTTGCAAAGCAGGAATTATTTCAGCTGCAGTCTGTAAATGTGGGGACAAATACCAGTTTTATTCACATCGAACATCAGTGTGATTAAATTCAAACAATGGATCTTAAATTTCATTAATACCTGAACATGGATGATGAATGATTCTTTTCGCTCTTCGTGAGTTAGGCGTCCCCCCCCTTGAAGTTGTCTATTGTTGGATGCAGGGCGTATTAGGTATGGGAGTAAATAAATAATCACAGCATCGCGATTGTCTGCAACACGTATGAAACAATTTTACACGATTGTCCTTGTTTTTCTCTCCGACATATTTAAAAAAAAGAAATCTTTCTAGTGAGTATTCCACATATTCTTTGGCTCAAGAGTGATTGCAAAATTAGCATGAACATTTCTTCATCAATATAATTTTTCTCTAGTAAAAAAAATACAATGGAATCGTTGTTATCTCCTTCAGGTTCAGAGATATTTCATGTAAACTGAATGAATAATGGGATAACTCTCAAGTTAAAAACTTAATTGCTATTGATCATCTGTAATATGAAGACCATTGGAAAGAGTTTTTCAAAGTGACTTACGTATCAATAGTTGTGGTAGATTAGTCAACAATAGTTGATCATTATCACTGAGATAATTGCACTGTTGCAATGAAGTAGCAATGTGAGGTCTGATCGTCTCCCAACGATCGAATAACTCATTTGCTCGATTAGGATGCAAAGTATCAAAATCAGCCTGAAGCTGAAATCACAAACTTGTGAGTTTATAATTATCGAAATGGAAATTGTTAGTATTTGTTTTTTTATGTTCATTAAAACTCACCAATCCTGCTCCCAATGCAACTTTTAAACATGGAAACTCCGTGTAATATTGATGCACAGTACAGCCTTCCGCAAGACGTTGTTGGCGAGCAGCATACGATATTGTCCAGTTTTCTTTTACTTCATCAGGTGGACCGTCATGACTCTGGAGCCAGTGCACTGCTTCATTTGCATTCTCAAGTAGAGGTCGAGGGACAGCCACTGCATTTAGGGGGGGTCTGGCAGGTGATAATAACCCCTTACTTCTCAGTCGTCTCTTTAGGTAATCCCAGTGTTCGTACAAGATACCTCCTGGTGGTATTTTTTTTCCATTCACGCTCACATGAGGTCTATAATAGACCCGTGGATTTTCTCCAAGAAAAAGTTCACTAATCTGTGTCGCCCAATTCTGAAATTGATTTTTGGTGACACGAAACGAATGCAGATACGTCACTCTCTGCTCTCGATACACCTGATCGAACTGCCTATCCTTTTCCTTCTTCAGAATTGTACGAGACAGTAAGTTCCTACTGATTTTATTTAAACTCCCCTCCGTCTCATATGCCTTGACCACTGTTTTAAAATCCGTGTCGTCCAGCATGAACTGATATAGTAACTGAAATTGAACCGAATAGGTGATTAATTCATTTTTTTTGCAAAAATTAAATGTTCTACCAGTTCTCATTAAATTAACTTACGTGTTGTCGAATAGCAGGCTGTTGAAAATAATTCTCTGCAGCCTTAAAAAATGTTAATACCAAATTTGATACATTTACGATTTGCAATAATTAAATATTATCGTCAAAGAAGCACATAGAGAAGAATATGGCAAATTTACATTTTTAATAGAAAGAAAAGTGCAGAGACATGCAAAGTGAAATGCAATTAACGTATATAGAGTGGCACTTCACAGTCTTCTTCCCCAGACCGTTGTCCTTACCATTATTAAATAAACTGTAAAAAAATTCAAGACAAAAAAAGTCAGAAAACAAAAAAACAAATATTAAACAAGAAGTTAGATAAGACCCTCATGACTGACATTTCCCTTACTGAAAACTGAACATTTCATTTTTTTTTATAAACGAAGCAATTAAAATGATCAATTAATAATTATTACCCACGTGCTAGTCGTGCGCAAAAACAGGTGGGTGTTTGAGGTTATGCGTAGAAGATGGGAATGTGATGCAAGGCCGGTCATGGAGTAACGTCTCGGGTTATTTTGTATTTATTGAAAGGTTAAATAATTATAATTGTACTTACAATTTTGGAGTTGATCCTTCTGCTACGGTTTTTTAAAAATTATTTTGGTTTAACATTAACGCAACACAATTAACACAGTTTTAAGAACACAGCACAGCGTGACTTCCCTCCGTTCGCCGGTTCCGGAGAGACCGAAGTTACCCGAAAATGTACGATAATCGACGAAGTAGGCATAGCTATAGAAGTAGGCATAGTGAAAATGTACGGATCCAGTGACGTAAAAATTACGCATCCGTTACACAAAAAATCTTGAACTTTCAAGACTTTTTATGTTCTGATTCAGAATAATTCATGAAATATCTGTTAAATTTTACTAGTTCCGAAAAAATTACGTAACTTCTTCGTATTTTTTCGGTGACAAACCAGAAAAATCCCTAACAGTTTCAGAATTATTCCCATCTATTCCTATAAAAACTACCAGAAAATGAGTCTCGCTTACGGATTACGTGAAAAGTTACGTAATTTTTACTAAATATTTCTCTCCGTGTGAGAGAAGAAAAGTGCAGGAATCGAGTTATGAAACGCAGTGCTTCTTCTTGTTTCACCCCTCTGAGATCCCACCAAATATTCCGCATGGATGTGTACCACTTGGGAAAAGCCCTCGAATCTAATGTCTGATACCACGCGACTCCCGTATATTTTGGTTGCCGTTATTATCG